CGACAGGCTTTCAGTCTCTTCCCTCAAATCGACCGATTCGACTCGTACCACAGATTCGGCTCGTGACCGTGAAGACTACCTCAAGCAGTCTGAGAGACTCTTCATCCTACAACCATTTACAGTTGGAGCTCTCAAGAACATGCGCAATTACGAAGGTCAGACACCAGCTGGAGACCGCAAAACAGACGTACTCGCAAGAGCCGTCCAGCTCGTCAAAACAAAGACGGAGATAGTCGACTTCATTCTTGCAGCTTGCCCTTACAAGTAAAAAATAAACAATTACGAATTAAACTTTTTACTCTTTCTTTTCTGAGTTGTTTAGAGCTGGTTTCTCTTGTAGAAACCTTTCGTACTCTTCCATGGTCATGTAATTGCGAATTTGGTACGCAATTCCAGGTTCGTTGTTTTTGAACCTGATGTATGTAACGCTTCCATCCTCCTCAGGGAAGTAAGCTGCTAACATCTGACCAAGTTTTCTCGGTGACTCGGAGCTCATAAAAATGTCACTTTTTAAACGTTAAGTTTTTAGTCTTAATTTACCCTTTGTTTGTCAAGGTAGTATTGGAGTGCAATTTCTCCAAATTCTCTGTGTCGGAGTTCTTCAGCATTTTCCAAGGTGTACCTGGAGAACTCAAAGAAGTTGTCAAGAAGATACTGCCATGCTGCTCTTCTGAGTTCGTCGGTATTTTGGAAGTGTTGCACCTTCGAGTCTTCGGACATGAAAAAAATGACACTTTTTCTATTAAACCGTTTTGGCATTTCTCATGAGTGAGTATAGTTCTACCGAACCATTGGAAGAGAAGAAGTACCCTTGCTGGCAAAAGACAAAAATAGTTGCCTTAGTTGTCATTGCAATTGTACTCGTAATTGAATTCATTGTACTTCTCTTCACGTACATAAAACTCAGCAATGGTATTTGCTTTAAGAAGCTACCATCTTACTAAGACTAAACACTTACATTTTTCAAGCTTGACTTTTTACAATTTGAACTTTGTTTGCGTAGATATGAATTCTGAAAGAAGAATGAGGGTCTTGTATGACTTTGTACTTCTCCCATAGTTCATGTCTGTCAAACTTACCTGCCATGGACTCTTTCATAAGTTCCATGAAATCGTCTTCGGACAATCCGGGGAAAAGTATAATGTCAGTCAGTATTCTTTTAACATCCTTACTTAAACTCTTTGCTGTCTGTACACAAATGACAACTGAGATGTTAAAGTGTCTGAGCTTCTTAAGAATTCGACACATATCTTGTTCTCTGTTCTTTAACAAAGGATGAGAGGCGAAATCATCTAAGATAAGAAGACACCTATGATGGTGCGTTTTCCAATCGTAAGATTGCAATTTCTTCGAAATGTATTCTATCTCTTTCTGTTTGTTTCTGAAGTGTTTCTTCTCTAATATTCTCTGCATTTCCTCATTAGGGTCTTTGAACTTAGAATTTATATACTCATTTATTGCATTATACTTCAAAACTCTTCTTTGGTACTTCTTTATCCAATCTAACAACTTAGTATCCTTTATACATACTAACTTAGACTTCTTTATAATATCTTTGAACGAATTGACGGTTTGGTCAAATTGACCAGAAGTCGAACAAATAACAACTAACTCATAGAATGGGTTCTTCTCATCTAGTTCTTGTTGTTGTGCAGCCATTTTAAGATAAGTGAAAGTCTTACCAGACCCAGGTGGTGCAATTAGACCTGTTATACCATTCTGAGCAAATAAGAACTTGTCATGTATAGGCTTTATCTGAGCATTTTCTAACTTCCTCTTGTTCTTGTTTAAAACATTCTCAAATTTTTTGTCAATGTCAGCAAACTTTTTTTCTAACATATTTTTAGAAAAATTAAAATTTTTATCTTTTAGAAAATGTCTAGCGATTTCGCTATCTATATTCGAGACAAACTTTTTGACAGCAAAACATCTGTCGACCATAAAATCTTACATAGTGTAAACAATAAAGGTGAATTTGTTCTAAAGTTCTGTTTCTGGGAATATGACAAGAACCATAAAACATTACAAAGAGCAGTCTTAAAATTTGTCAATGACAGACTTGTTGACAGAAATGACGCCGATTGGAAAGATGAAGTCCAACAAAAGTTCTTAGAATGCAAAGAAGACACATGCGCTGTTCTTGAAGATGAAATAGAAAACAGAATAGATGAGCTATTAAAGGACAAAGAACTTTTACATAAATATGGTTCTGAGAAATTTGACGTCTCACCACCAGAAAAGAAGAAGAGAGAAAAGAAAGAAAAGAAAGTAGAAGAAGAGAAGAAAGAACCTGAACCAGTTCCAGAGAAAAAGAAATTTGACATGTAAAAATAAAATTTTATTTTTAGAACATTTCTGGGTCAATGTCAATGTTCTCTTCCTCTTTAGGAGCAAACACTGGCTTAGGCTCTAAAATCTTTTTACCCAATTTACCTTGAACTTCAACTATCTTAGACTCATAATATTCATAGTCGTCTGCTTTCTTTGGTTCATAAGGTATAACAAGTTTGTATGCTTTGCCTTCTTTAAGGTTTGAGAACCTTCTGTCAAAACTTTCTTTGACTGTTAACAAACCTTCTATGTCTAAGTCTTCAAATTTCGCACCATTTTTAGTCACAATAGCAAACTTAACTGGTTCGATGTTCCAAACTTTGCTGAATGAAGACTTTTCAAAATGGTAGAAGTAAACATTCAAATATGTGAATGGGTCTAGTTCTTCTTTAAGTCCTGACATGTACTTGTTTACTGAAATATATTTCGTCATCTTTTCTATCGGATAAAAAAATATTTTTTTTAAAATTTACTCAGAAAAAATTTTCTTTGTATATACACCATTCTGAACATCTAAAAGACTTTTGACATTTGCCAAGAATGTTCGTTTAGAAGCTGCCATATAACCATATTCTTGACAATATTGTTTATATTCATCATATAAAGACTTTTCATCTAATGACACAAAGTCAGTTTCATCTATGAACAGTTCATATACACTCTTGTTTGCTTCTAACAATGTTTGTCTCTCTTCGGTATGTGGAATTTGTCTTGGATTGAACTTAGAAATATCTAATGTCATGAAATATGAGAACAAGTGGTTGTAAAAGTCAGATGTCAAAGTTTCTGCTAAGTCGTCAAAATATTCTGTATCTTGCATATGAGAATCTGACGTTCTGACAACTAAATATCTTCTGTCAGAACTTTCTAACTTCATCGGAACAGCATTGTTTGAAACCATAATGAAGTTTGCAACATTTTCACAAACTCTTTGGTCTTTATACTTTCTTTCAACAACTCCAACTTTGTCTGTTATAAGACTCTTCAAAGCATCTGAGTTCAAAACTTTTGTTGTATCTATACTTTGAAGTTCATTGCAAACTATATGTTTCATATTCTCTATTGAGGAGTTAAACTTGCCACAGATGTTTTCTAAGTTTGTCATATTCGGATTCGAATAACCTTCTAACAGTTTGCACAAAATATCTGTAAAGAAAGTATTCTTACCAGTTCCTTGTTTTCCAATTATAATGAGAGCAGTTTCATTTTTAGCACTTGGATGTTGTAAGATGTTTGCAAACCAACATAAGATATACTCATAAACCTTTTCGTTTCCATTGCATATAATTTCTTTGACATGGTCTAACCAAGCTTCTATAATACTGTGTTTCCATTCTACTTGTTCGTATTTATATCCAGTGAAGATAGAATAGAAGTTTGGAGAAGGTGTATAAAACTTTATACCACGAACTGAAAAATCTTCTAACTTTGACAATAAGATATCCCAAGCATCTAACATCTTCATTCCAACTTGTACAACTTTTATTTTCTTAAGTTTCTGTCTACATTCTTGTTCAGACACTATTGTTGCTCTTGGTTTGTTAAAGACAACATCCCATTCTTTCATGACATAACATTCTGGGGCAGAGTCAACATAAATGACTAAACGTTTCAAATTCTCGACTGCTTTGTTATAGTCTCGAAATGGACACATATTTCTGAATGCTTGGAAGTCATAAAAATCTGAAACATCTATTCTGTACATTTTTATAAAAATAAAGAAAATATTTTTTTTTTATTCTTGACTTTGTTGTTCCTTTTGTTGCATTTGTTGTTCTTGTAATACAATACTTTCACCAGTTGCGTCTTCCAATTCGAAACTTTCTGCCGTCATTGACAAATACATAGGACATAAAAGTTTTACAGGAACAAAGTTTGCGTCAACTAATGTCAACGTTATACTTGCCAAAGTGTTTGAGTTCACTAAGGTTGAAAATTCTGCATTCGAATGAACAATAGGCAAACCAGCAGAGAAAGTATTGTTTATACGCATAAGTATCTTTTGGTCATAATAGTTTCTGTCGACATTCGAATAACACTTTGAACCTAAGTTTGAAACAATATATAAGATTGGTGTGCTTTGTTTCGTACCGAAATGGCTAACAAAAAAGTGACAGAAAACCTTAAATTGCGCGGCAATTTTAATTAAAAAAATAAACATTAATTTTTGTGATTGATATTATGCATTTTATTTATATTACATAAGATTTAAATTTAGGGGAAAAATTGGAAAAAAATAAGATTGGAAGTCTTTAGGTAAGAAGGAAAGGGCAAGAGATATATAGTGGAAAAAACCAGAATTTTCGAAAAAGTGACACCAACTATTAAAGTTATTTTATTACTAGATTTATTTACAAATTATAAGATAATATCATTAACCGAATATATTTTTAATATAAATAAAAAACTTTTTTTATACAAAAAATTACAATCAATCGATAAATATTATAAAACATTTATTCCAAAAAGATTAAGTAATAGGTGGGATCCTGCATATAATATAATTTTATGTCATAAAGTTTACAAATTTTAGATGGACCACAGTGAGAATGTGAGTGGTTAATTTAAAGGTGGTCTGATAAAGATATCGAAGCTTACTCAACACAGCATGAAGCAGTTTCTAATACACAATCTTACTAGTGGTGTTTCTTTCTTTTCTTGCGTCATTTATTTCTGTAGTTGGTTTTATTTTGTCATGGAACATGTTTTTCAATACTAACATTTCATTTGGTACTGTCCATTTGAGTTTTCTTAAATATTCATCCCTTCTCAGTTCATTGTCTGCAAAGTAAGTTTTTATGACATTTTGCAAACTTTCGTTTGCAAGGTCATGTACAATAGGTTCTCTTCCTTCTCTCTCCCTAACTCTCTTTCTAAACTCTTCACCAAATATACCATCTCTATGGTTCTGTGTAGTTCTTTGAGATAAATGTTCTAGAACGTCAGGTGTTATATTTCCCTCAGCCATGTTCATTTCATACTGGTCCAAAATATCTGCATCTTTCATATCTTTCAATGGCATTAAAGCCGCGCTGAAAATACCCGTTATATCTGGTTCACCATTCACTTCCATTGCGTCTACAACTTCTTGGAATTGAGGTTGTAAGTTTATGAACCACCTATCCGGGTTAGCTTTATGACCCCATTTCATTGTAGTTCCATAGTCTGCAGAAACAAAAGTAGGTTTGTTTCCATATTGGTTAGGTTCTGAATGAACTTTAAACAATGTTTCATTTCTATATGTTTTGTTGAAATTTAACCTTTTATTTTCACCGAGTTCAGCCAAAGATTGAACGTTATATGGTCGTAAGTAAAAAGGATTATTGTATTTGCGTACATTTTCTTTCAGTACTTCCATTCTATGCTGAATATTTTCATCTGATGTTGGAGTCTTTTGTATGTCGGTGAACATTTTTCGATATCCTTCTACTATGTCAGCCGAATTTTTCTTAGACTCTTGGAAAGATTCCATATTCACCTCATACTCTTGTTGAGGGTCAAGATTTTTCGGCTGTTCCAAATCTTCATCTAGTTCTGTGAAGTTAGTTTCCAAAGGAGGGACTTGTTCGTTTCCTTCAGGCTCTTCTAGCTGTTGTTGCTGAACTATTTCTTCCATGTCTGGTTGTATCTGAACTTCTTCCTGTTGAGTTTCTTGTACCTCATCTGGTGGCATTTCATATATTCCGAGACCGTTTTTAACAAGTTCCCTATCTAAGTCATCCGGACTCATAAACCTTTCTTCTTTCGTTCCGTCTCTATTTTTTACGCGTTTCATGAAGAGAGTTGAATTATCATTTAGCTCTGACATCAAATATCTCGGAGTAAATTCATTCATGTCATTTGGATGATATGCTATTAAATCATATCCCTTAGCGAGCTTGTATTTTCCAGGTTTGAGATTATATCCGATTTTATGCTGAACCATAAAGCTAAATAGGTTCGGGTCAGTATTTCCTTCCTTGAACTTTCTAATAGCTTCTTTATATCTGTCACTAAAGTCAAGAGTATCTGGGTAACCATAATCTTCCTTAAGCATTTTTAAGAATTCTTGGTTTCCTTTTTCTCTACTTCTTTTATGTCCTTGCTCTGTTTGTGGTTGTTGTTGTGCAGGGTTTTGAACTGTTGGTTGCTGTGCTGGTTGTGGAGGTGGTTGTTGTGCTGGTTTTGGTTGTGGTGCAGGTGCTGGATTTTGAACTGTTGGTTGTTGTGCAGGGTTTTGAACTGTTGGTTTTGGTTGTGGTGCAGGTGCTGGATTTTGAACTGTTGGTTGTTGTGTTGGTTTTGGTGCATGCCTGTGTCTGTGTCCATGTGACGATGTAAATGTTTTAGGTAGTCCTGGTGCAGGTGCTTCTCTTGGAGGGTTTGGTGGTATATAAGTTCCACCAGCTGGCACATATGTTCCATCTGCAGCATAATGTCCTACCTGACTTTTCATTTTTAAGAAAGCATTTACTAGGTCTGTTTTGGTCTGTTGTAACTCTTTTTCTTGACTTTCCACAACAGTTGCTCTAACGGCGTCATAGGCACTTTGAACTGCCTGTCTCGTTGCAGCATCTGTTATTTTCGTCATATTTTGTGCTACTTCTCTTAACTCTTTGTCGAAACCTTCAGACTTCAGTTTCTTTCCAGATGAGAAGTCGTTCACTAGTTTCACCTTACTATGAAGAGCTTCGAAGGTATTCTTAAAGTCAGCATTCATTAAAGCTTCATTTGAACTGTCTTCATCCGCTTGTATTTTTGTCCTTATTGACCCTATAAGTTGGGCTGCTTTAGCGTTGGCTTGGGCATCTAACCAGTCATTATTAGCTTTTATAATATCTGCGCTTTTCATTGCCTTTTGCATGGCTGCGTCGTTATTTTTACTTTCTTGTGCTAAGTTTTCATACTGTACGGTTTGGTTTTGCAAATGTAAAAGTTTTTCTGCCTTTACATTTGCTTCAACTTCTTTTTTATACTCATCGCTATCCATATATGTCTTCAGGGCTTTTTGTTTTATCTCTTCATCTTTCAGTACTTTATATTGAGTAGTATGGTTTTTCAAATTTATAACATCTTGTTCCATTTTTGCTACTTCTGCTGCTTTTTCTGACACTTTTTTCGCATATTCCTCTGTACTTAGTTCTTTCAGTTGTTCTTCTTTCTTCTTTTTCTCTACGTTTAACTCATTGAGTTTCTTTGTGTGTCTGTCATATTCTAGTTTCTTTTCGTTTTCACTTATTTGTTTCTGTATGTCTATGTTTGACTTTTTGACATCTGTTATTTGATTTTTGAGTGAACTCAAATTCATTTGACTTTGAGGGTTATAAGCTGTTCCGTCTGCAGCTCCACCATAGCCTGCCATTTTCGCTAAAAGTGCCGCTCTTAAACCTCCACTCTGTGCACCAATAACTCGGCTTAAAAGCATAGGGTTGCTTGACATTTGTTGCAACATAGTGGGGTCATTCATCATTTGTTGTTGCAACTGTTGTTGTGGTGTCAGTTTTACTATTGGATGTTTCAATGCTCTCTTCCTCTTACGTATATTCTTACGTAGCTTACGTGGCATTTTAAGTGAAGTTAAAAAGCGGTTTTTGACAGATGTTTATATGACACTATTTGTTCAGCACAAAAAACTACTCGGTCAAAGTGTTGTCAGTTTTGTAAAATAACCGTCCTCTCTCATTCTATAAGGGAGAAAAGGCTTCTCAAAGTATACTTCCTTAGAACGCCTGTAACTTTTCCTGTAGCGACGATAGACCCTTGCTTGTCCGGACAAAGTTATACTATTTTGAGTGCTCTACAAAAAAGTCAACGGCGACGACTCTCAAAAACCGTTGTGTAAAAAGTTTTACCGTTGGACAAAAAAGTATATATAGAAAACAAAAAACGTTTATAGTTCATTCAATATTTGAGATAAACCGTTTTTCCAACGGTAACTATTAAATAAAATAAAAAAATAGAGGGGGTCTCCGTTGGTAAAAAACGTTTTTATTCAATATTCATTTTCCACAAACTTCTGGTCAGTTCATTTTTTCTCAATGGAGCCCAACACCACTGACACTGCTGTTACCAATTCTACCCTTCGTAGGGGACAACAAATGTTGTGAACAACATTCTTCAAGCAAACCCCAAAGGTTTCTCAACCTACTCCTTCGGTTGAAGCAACAATTCAGGGTCAATCAGACTCAAAATCGAATTCAAACCAAATTCCACCCAATTCTACTTCAAACCAACCTTCAAACGCACCAGAACAACACACACATGTCTCAACCTCTCAAACTACACAGCAAACACAAAGACAAACTTCCAATTCTGGTACAATTCCAATTGTACTTACTCATGAAGAAGAAGAAGAATATTTGGTAGAACCAGAAATAAAAGAAAGCGATATTCGTAAGGACGCAGTCAAGAGACTCGAACAATTCATGAAGAATTACCCACAAAACGTAAGCATTAAAGACACAAATGACTATTCAGATTTCTACAATGATATTATTGAAGCCGTCAAAAAATTTGAAGATAATGTTCAAAATCCAACAAACCTTTCAGAATTCTTCTTCAAATTGCTTCCTTATACAGCAAATATCATTGGTTTACAGTTCTGTGACGAGTTTATTCAAACATTCAGTCCCAGACAGCAAAAAAGTCTATACGCACGTCTGAAACTGTTTCATCCTTATCCACTTACATATAATTGGATTGAAGAACTTCAAGAACACGGAAAGGAACAACATTTCAAGTTCTATGTAGATGTTCCTCAAGGAAAGCTTGCTAAGACATTCACAATACAACCAAAACAATTCTATGAAGACTTTCTTCACGTAATTTCAACTATTGCTATGGTTGAGCCTGAAAGGGTTACATTCGGTCAAAGTGTTTCTCTATATAATGTTCGTCAAGGACGTGAGCCGCTTAAAATAGCCGAGTTTACCTCCTCCTCAGCACAGCTCAAATTGAACTGCGAATTCCAATTTGTTGGAAACTCCAAGTTCTCTCTCCATACACCATTCAACCAACGCATCCGTATCTTCATTGCTGGATATGTTGGAGACCCTATAACAAATGATGATGAAGAAGAAACTTCAGAAGAAGATAACTAAAACCGTTCCAATAAAAAATTTCATTTTATTATTATATATTGTAAACTAAAAAGTGACAGCCAGGAAAAGTTGGCAGTGTCAGTCCTCCTCTTGGGTCTTGGGCAAAATTTCTTATGGGCTAGAGGGCGCAACGCGCCTGGAAGCCCCACTTACCTGACCTTCATCTATTAGTAAACACTACCGTATATTATTTTTAAGCTATCTTATTTTTTGAAATTTTATTCAAATCTTTGGTCGCAAGAAGAATTGCATGATAAATAAAAACATTTAATCAAAGTCAATTTTATTTTTCATATTCAAATGGACTGAGTGTTAACATTTAACATTTTTTGCTAATTGTCGTCAAAAATTAGGCGTAAAGCAAAAATTGATATTTCATATGGTTTTATGATAGATAAGCATTATATTCCCACTCATTATATTCGTAAATTTTGAGGTTTATCCTTCGCTTTTAAGATCATTGAATTTGATTTTTATATAAAATAGTTATATATTAGAAAATAATATGAGTTTATGTGATATTATTTTTCAGAAGATTTTGTGTTCTTCTTCAAAATTTTATTTTTTATTAAAAAGAATCTTTACAAAATATACATTTACTTTAATTAATATTTAAAAACGTGCTCTATCAAAAGTTCCAAAAATTCAATATTTTAGCTTTTCTGAGGTGTCACTTTTGATGAATTTCTGTTTACAACAGTTTTAAGTAACGAATTTTCTGAAATTCGAAAATCTGATGTAGTTATAAAGGCAGATATATTCTTTTTCTGTTGTTTATTAGTATACTCCTGTTGTTTTTTGGTTCTTCGATTTTTGCAGAAGATTGATAAACTTTTTGTTGAAAAAATGATGTTGGGCGTATATTGAAGGAAGAATTTGTTGGTGTACTTACTTTTTCAACCTTTAGACTTATTAAAGGCTTTTTTTCCTTTGGTTTGTCACTACTTTCTTTCCACCATTGCATTTTTTTATGCTATAAAATGGTAAAATATAGAATCTAAGATAAATTTCCTCATTCATTTGTTGATATTTTATCTTTCCCATTTATTTATGCTTAAATTGCTTTGTAGTAATAATACTTGTTCTTTTTCTTAGATTGAGAATGAAGAATAATATAGATGGGTTCGCCCTCAATAGTATTAGCTAGAAGATATGCAACAGATTGAAATCAACAAGAGAAAATTGTATAAGATATCGACATTTCATACCTTTTAAGATTTTCAATGAATTTGAGATGTGAAATGTTTTGCATAGGTGTATGTAGGGCTGTACAAAATCGAGAAAAACATTGCCGTGCGGTAATATAGGGTCAAAAAAATCGCGCCTCGGCGGCTCCGCCGCCTCGGCACTATTAAGTGCGCATTATATTTAATATGTCCTTCTTTTTTTCTTTTTTTTTCTTCTTCTTCTTTTCCTTTTCTTCTTCTTTTCCTTTCCTTCTTCCTCTCCTTCCTCTTCTTTCCTTCTCCTTCTCTTTTTACAACAACGTCGAAGATCTTCGAATTTGATTGTTGGAAAAGCATCTATTTCAGATAAAGGATGCCTTTCTCACAGTCAATATATGAGGGTCCTGGCTGAAACGTTCTCAAAAAGCCTGAGATGGTAATTCTCTGATCACTCATAGCTGGGCAGGTAGTCATTGCTGACAATACCTGTCTTTATGCATGCACGCTTTCATGTATATGGGTTTACACTATCAATTCGCAAAGTTGTTCCGAATTCTTCCAAAATGGAAGGACCCGAAACAACTTTGCTTGTTAACGATACAGACGCATTACTTTGCATTGATACTGTGCTGAGTTGTGTAGAAAGTTTGATTAGAGTTGTTTTGTTCTGGTATCTCTCATCTTCTGATGAGAGAAATCAAAGCAACACAACTCTAATGAGTTTGTTTTCACTCATTTGTATGTAGGTTTTTAGTTCGATTGGAGCTGCTTCATAATGAGATCTCTCATCAATTGATGAGGGAGATCATAACAAAGCAGCTCTAATGTATATGCTCGTATTAACCGGGTTGTAATGCGTTGTAACGTCAGCTTGTAGTTCGTTTGGGGCCACTTCACATTGAGATGAGAAGAAATGATTAAAGGACTCTGAAAGGCTTTGGCCGTTGATGTTGTAATCGCATTACTTGGAACTAGCTGGATGCTAAGCTGTGTAGAATATTCTATTAGAGCTGTTTTGATATGATTTTTCTCATCATAAGATTGGAGGAATCATAGCAAAACAACTCTAATGGGTTTACCATCATCTACTTGTATGTAGATGTTTGGAAAATTGTCTTGTTAATCGATTTTCGAGATGACTTTCAAATGCTATAATCAAATGACAAACAAGTCTAAGATTTCTCGACAATACATCAAATTATGATGTTTGTAAGTGCGATGAGATTAGAGTTTTTGAAGGAATGACAAGAGAAGTAGGGAAGCTCGGCATTCGCCGAGCAAATTAAAAATTAACGTATGGATTAAATTTTAAGAGGAATTCAATTTTAATTACGGGTTGTTCAAATATTGATTAATATAAATTTATTAATAAGAATAAACAATTTTTGTTTTTGAATTTATTCAATTTATAGCTTTACATATAGTTTCAAAATTGTACAACTATGATTATTTCAACAAAAAATATCTTACTTTTTCACTTCACTTTCACCCTCACTTTTTCCGTAATTCAAATTTCAACATTATGTATTTTAATTCCTTATAGTATTTTTAACATAATTAATCAAATAATAATTGGAAGTTCTGAACTCACTTTTTCCGTAATTCAAAATCAAAAATATGAATAATATATCTATTTATTATATACTAATGCTATTTTCAACTAGAAGTGAGGTACGGTAATCTTACGGATTCCCGTAACTCAATTTACGGAAAAAGTGTCGTAAACTATTGATGTGGCGGTAAAATCAGGGTAATTCACGGAAAGCTATATGCGAAAATTTGAAATTATACAAAATCGAGCGAAACAGAGTGTGGTAGAATTTACGAAAAAGTGACACTTAACCTTAAATTTTCAAACACTATTTTTTGATTGTATTTTGTTATTTATATATTTATATATATGTATATTTATATATATGTATATTTATATATATGTATATTTATATATATGTATATTTATATATATGTATATTTATATATATGTATATTTATATATATGTATATATTTATATATGTATATATTTATTAGAAACTGCTTCATGCTGCATTGAGTAAGCTTCGATGTCTTTGTAGGATAGCTTTCTGAGAGCGAAACAAGATAGTGTTGAAAAAAAAATTTTGAAAATCTGAGAGACTGTGCAAGAGCCAACGACCAAAACACTACCAGTAAGATACAGCAGTAGTAGCTGCTTCATGCTGCATTGAGTATTGTTGAATAATTTGAAGTAGTGGTTTTTGAAATCAGCACCCCTATGAGAGCGCTGGCGACCGAAACACCACTAGTAAGATTGTGTATTAGA